CAACTAGGCTGCCAGGCACTAGCTAGAGGGACGGAAGCCGCCAAGTCTGGATGACTCAGATGACCAAGACGATTCAGAATGGGCGGGCTTTGGGACCCCTTTTATCCCCAAAAGTACAAATTGATGGGATTGGGGTGAGGGCTTCCATGTGCTCAGGCCCAACTTCCTTTGTCTGGTTCAGGTCCTTTGTTTTTTCCTTAAGGACTTGCTTCCTTCTTATCTACCTCCCTGAAGGGATCTCATAGATAAGATTCCTGGCTTTTGTGCTCTCTGCTTACGTGCCTGCTTCATCTTTAGGTTATGACAGCTTCAGCCTAGTCTCACAGGTGCCCCAATTCCCAAAATCTCTAGCCAGTATATAAGGATATGGCTAGTAATTAGCTGACATATCCAGACTGGACTCACATAAGCCACATGGTGGTTTGTATGATTTTGACTTAGAATATTGCGTGAAGCCCATTGGTTGTGGCTTATTCAGTGGTTGAGCAGAACATGGATTCGTGTGATATGTGAACTCAGCCCATTTTTTCTGGTGCTCCCTCAGATAAAAGACCTTCGGGAGATCTCACCAGGGCTCTCAGCTAGACTGAAAAAATCGAAATTGAAAAAAATCATAATTGAGGAAGGTGGTGACAAACCACTTCCATGGATTGCCCAGAAAACTGCGTGGATGTGTCTATGAAGTTGTTAGAAGCCAAGACTTCTCTTTTTAAAATAATGAAGCCAGCCTTGGCGAATGCCATATTCAGGCTGCATTAATGTCCTCTGTTCCACCATTATCTTTGCTATTTCCAGATGTACATTATGTTGAACATCCGCATTGTGTTGGTTGGCCTGGAGATCTGGACGTTTGAAAATAAGATCCGAATGGAAGGAGGAGCAGGGGATGTCCTTGCCAACTTCGTGCAGTGGAGAGAGCAGGAACTTGTCCCACGCCGACGGCATGACAGCGCCCAGCTTGTTCTGTAAGATCTGTGCACTCCCTGTTTGGCAAGGAGGCCACACGCCCTTTCTGCCCAAAAGCACTAGACAGATTCCTTCCACAACTCCCTGCCAGTCCCCTCTAATCCCTTTATTCTCTTCTCTGTGCCCGCGCAGGTACATCCCTGTGAATGGAGTGGGGCAGTTTTTCCCATTTTGTAGTTAGAATAAGTACCTTTGAAGACTTTCAGTCCAAAAGTTCTGGGACTCACCTGTGAAGGAGATCTCTTGACTAGCACTGAGGAAGTTCTACCCTCCCTTGGTGGCAAACAAAGCTGTCGTTCTTCCTTTGGCTAGAAGGGATGTGGAGGAACAGGGAGGAACCGGTGACCTTCCGTATCTTGCTGCATTTTCATCTCCCAGAAGTCCCCCCAACAGTTATGGGCTGCTGGGAGTTACAGTTCAGCTTTCACTTCAGGATGACCTACTCCCCCTTCTGGTGGGACATGGTCCAATCAGGAGGTTATGAAAGGGAGTTGCATGAACTTGACTTAATATATATTTTTAAATAATAAGGCCTGTGTAGTTGACACCAATATGCACTAACTGAAAAATAGAGATTTTTAAATGATACACACACACACACACACACACACACACACGTATACATATATACATACATACACACACCAGTCTATACTAGACCTTAGTTTGTTTGGGGAATATATGCATATTTAAATGTATGTATTTAAAAATGTATTTTAAATAAATCAGGATTAACTGTATTTTAACCCAATGACTCCCTGGGATGGTGAGTCACTTTCCCGTTTAAGCTGCTCTGAATGACTTGTTAAATCAAGGATCAGGGATCACACAATTTCATGAAAATTCATGGTGCCATTGTATTAAAAATGCATCAGCTGTGGTTAAGAGTTCAACATGTAAGGTCCCCCCCACCATACCCCAAGACTGGACTATGAGACTTTGGCCATTTTTAGTTTTTAAAAAGTTACTTATTTTATTTAGAGATGAGGGGTTACCGCCTAGTGGTGTTGCAGGTTTGAGGGTTCTTGTGCCTTGTTGCCACCTTGTGTTAGATCGAAGGGCACTTGCAAATGCCACCGTTCTTGTTCCTCTTTGCTCGAAAGCCATTTGAAGCAGACTTGGGTTCATCTTTGCTTCTGCCAACCTCTGCTGAAAACATTCAGGGAATAAGACAATCCCAGATGAGTAGGATGAAACTTTATAAAATCTCCTCCAATCAGTACCCTGATCACCACAGATTCTGGATCAATCATCCCCCAACACCACATACTACCTCCACAAAAGAGGGAAGTTAAATATATTGCACCCTCCACTTCAGTTCATGTAGGCAATTATCTGGTTTCTTGCACGACAAACAGGAACAATAATCTGAGCAGTTCCTATGAGGCAACACTTGCTAAATGCAAAGCTGACTTCTCTCTTGCATGTAAAAAGCTTCTGATGAGCTCTGAGGGTGAAATGCAACCAGGCATTTTCCCCAGTGTCTCCAACCAAATAGTGGAGATACATGGTGGCAGAAGTGGGTCAACCATGCCTACAGACACACCAGGAATAGGGCCCTGAAGCTCAGAGCTGGGGTGGGGTGGGCACAGGGGTAGGGATGGGCATGGGGGTAGGAGTTCTGCAAGTAGCTGAACAAAGTCTTCACCAGCTCTGCAGAATGGGAGGACCGCATAAGGAAGGGCCACCTTTGCTCTAGCTGCAGATAAACTTCTGCAGAACAGGAGGAAGGGCTCTGTTCTCCAATACTGGGGAATGCTGGGGTTTAGCGCCGATTCTAAACTGGTTGAAACAATCCTTCTGGAAGTGCTTGTGCAGTTATTTTGAACATTTGACCTTGCTTAAAATCTTGTGTTCCTGTGGGGTCACTGGATTCTGAATAACTTCACTTTTTATAACGTTTAAACTTGATTGTTAAGTCCAAATTTCTGGGGATTCCCCAGCTTTTATAGATATAGATATATTTATATTTATTATATATAACAATATATATAACAATATATATTCTAGATATATATTTATTGTTTCAGTGTAACCTGCATTTTTATTTTTATTTTTGTATTTATATATATGTGTATGTATAAATAATAAAAATAATTCCCCTCTCACCTCTGTGGGTGGGATGGGTCTTCCTCAATCTCGGGTCCTCTACCAGAGGCCTGGGAGTTTTAGATAGATAGATAGATAGATAGATAGATAGATAGATAGATAGATAGATAGATAGATAGATAGATA